TCCTCTATATATCTCTACAAAGTATAAAAATTACAAATATTTTTCAAGGTGCATGTGTATATGTACCTGATAAAAATATTTACATTGTTTATTATTCTAGCGATATTTTTAACCAGGTGCATATTTTCCGTGAGGCATTTTCCGGAGATTTTTTTTCCCGATATACATTTTCAGGATATTTTCTTGGCATTCGTTTTACTCAAGTGGTTAGATTAAAGTGTTATTTTGTATGCTGTGAAACCTAACTAGAATTTATTTTCATTCCATAGTTGCTTCACATAAATTTTCGATTTTCATGTAATATTCAGTTTCATAATGGCACTATCATTTTGAGATTTACTATACTTTTCAGTTTTTTTTTTATTAAATGTCGTCTACAACTACTTTCAATAAAATACTGATATATAATAGGGAAATATAACATACACGCGCACACATGCTCACAAACATACATCACCATATGTATACACAGTGTTTTGTATGTGTGTTTACATATATATATATATAGTTTACATACAAAACAGTTTTAATAATTCCTACGAAAAATGTGATAAATTTTCACGAAATAAACTGCTTATAATATATATATATATATATATTGCGCTTTCCATAGTTTAACATAGATGAAGTTTTTAAAGTCTGAATTTAAATAATGATATTGTGTTTATATGTACTGTAATTACTGATGAAAGGATGTTTCTGAATTTAAAGCCAGGGTAGCTTAAATTACTAACAGACGGCAAATACACAACTTGAAATCAGAGTCTTTGGAAGAAGCAATAAATTTAGAATTTACGGCAGCTCCATTTCTCGTCATAGTTAACAAAATGAAAGAACTGAGAAAGATAGATAGCGGATGCTTTTTTTGTCCTTGCACAAAGGTAATGGTCTCCCATATAAAGTAGAAAATGTACAAAGGTGGTAAGCTTTTAGTTCAGTACCCCCTGGAGGTATATTTACGTTGAAGTCAACTTGGAGATTCCGCTATTAGGTGTTTTCTTTGAAAAGGGTAATATCTTTTTCAGCACATAACCAGAAATAAGAGTTTATGTTTTCATTACTTAATCTTCAAAGCTGTATAATTTGGAGCATGTGCTCCGAAAAACTGTTAACTTATTTTTCATCATTCATGAAAAGAATACACACCTGCGTAAATGTCTTGGAGAAATAATATCGTTAACAATTTTGCTACAAAGAATTTTTTTTTTTTTTTTTTTGGTTTCTATTAACATCTCGATAATGCACGTAGTATATAAATACTTGCATTGTAATATTGTAATATATATAGCTAATTACAAGGAAATTGCATTGTAACTCGAAAATACATTTATTTTCTCAAGAAGCTCCTTTGACCAAGCTGTTTACTTGTTTTCTACCCCTAAAGTGATTTTACTCTATAAAAGCCGAACTGCCTGATCTCATTCATCAGCCACTTCATCTATTCTGCTGTTGAGTTATGCGATATACATGCATACATACGTACGGACATACGTCGCGCTAAAACTAGTCATAAGTCCCAAATATAAAATTTCAACATTTTATGTTAAGTTATGCGACATACGTACGTTTAAACGTCATGATGGAACTATTCAAAATGGAAATTTCCTTTGAAATATGAAAATCGAAATGTTTCGCGATTACAATACTTTATTTATTTCTCACAAGTCAAAACGGTGTCATAAATAACTAACTACTAATAAATTTATGGATGCAATCTAAAGAATTATTTAAATCTAACACTTTAAACTGGAATAAACTTATAATATTTGAAAATTAAATATAAACATAATACTAAAATAAGTTGCGAATAATTTGTATTCGAAAAATTGGAAACACGAGAGAAAAAAATTCTCACAAAATTCCCTTTGTATATTAAAAAGTATTTCCTCAGAAAATAAGGATAAAAAAATGCAAGATTAATTTTTCACCATTATCGAAGCAATTCCTTAAAGAAACTGGAAATTTAAAGCCTTTTACGTAGTTTCTCTTACTGATGTATATTGACTAACTTTCTGTATTCGGCACATATCTTGATTTTAAGGTACGAGTAATATACAGTATATGTGTTAGTGTGCAAATTATAAAGTAGCCAAATAGGAGATAAAATACTATTTTAGCAACCAGTCTCGTGACGAAGATACCATAGGGAGAAAAACTAATTTCACTCGCTAAATTCAAGGGAGGGGAGAATTAGCTTAATTATATCCACATGGTAAGGGGGGCCCGCTTTTGAAGTAGTTTGAGTAAAAATGTTTGCCGTTTTTGCGACAGACCTGGTAAGAAACCACGATTATTTTTATGTCGTTTCCTGAAAAAACCTGTAACACTCGGGTTAATAAACTGAATAAATAAGATTGTGGGATATTTCTTTCTTGGTCACCTATTGTTTGTTTTTATTATTTTTAAAAACGCATATTCTTAAATGGTGAAAACAATGCAGAGAATATGCAGGCACAAGGTACTCCTCGGCTCTGAAGGATGTTTATCTGCATGTTCCTTATCATCACCATTTTCCAATGCTTAGAGTTCCATTTCATAGAATTCGGCACTTTAACTAATAGTACTTCAAAGGTGTTAACTTTACATCAGTCTCACCTCCTATCTTTACCTCTGTGATTATCTACACCCTCAGCTTAATTTTTGATAAAACTGTCGGTTTTTGATATATTTTTAAGTTTACATATGACAATAAATAACCCATCATGAACACACAGGACCCATGTTTGTGTACATGTGAATTAATACACTGAAAACAAAACAAAAATACATAAAAGTCATTTTGCTAAACTGCATCCACCAGCTGAAAAATGTAAATACTCTCAATTCCCCCTTCATAAAATACTTATGAAAAAACAGCACCTACAAGACATAAAGATGGCCAAACAGATGTTTCTTGACAACTTAGTAAATCAGAAATGAGTTGGCGACTTTTTGTAGGGGTACAGATAATAAAGTACCATTTAAAAAACAAGGACTAATGAAAAATATAAAGGTGAAGTGACTACAGTTAAAAAGTTAAGAGCTATGAACCAATAACTGAAACAGACTGAAAATTTTCAAATGTAATCAGAGGTTTTAGAACTGAAAATTTTAAAATGTAATCAGAGGTCTTTACTTTCTGAAAGATGTGATATGTTGCTTGAGTTCAATGCACATTATAATTTTTTCTAGAATTGATAACGAAAAAAATATCTTGATGTAAATATATCCAGTTAAAGCATGCTTAGATAAGAGAGTCTACTAGATGTTTAGTTTTACTTCATAAATAAAGCACCCTTTGAGTGGCATGGCTTTTTGAATCTGTTTATGAAGACCTGTATTTAAACAGCCTGTATTAGCTAAATTTTTATAATTATTTATTTTAACGGTTGATCTTTACATTATGGTAACTTGGCGATTTTTTGGCGAAAATTTGGCAACCAACTCTCCTACAGCAACCCTCTATTTTTTTTTCCTCGCCGCCATTTTGTCTTCACGAAGTAAAGACATGTTTCTTTTCTTCTTATCTACTGAACACTTCTTCCAACAATCTACTAGCCGAATTACACTTATGCTAGAAATTTTATCAAACAAAACTGCTTAATCATGACAAATATTCACTGCAAAATTGGGAAAAAGTGCACAATACCATACACCTTACGCGTTTTTCAAAATAACACATACACATAAACCATGTACACGCCGACTTATTTTTACTTAAAAAAACATCCCAGAATTGCACAAAAATGGCATTGCGCACACTCTTCACTATATCCATGTACACTGCTTTTTTCTCATAAATTACAAAAATTTCACGAAAATACATGACAATTTTCTCAATCTTTAAACCCGGTAAAAAGAACGTATATGAAATTACCTGATCGCGAAAAAGTATTTACCCTTTACAAATATGAACATTTCCACATATAAAATAAATAAAATATCCAAAAACTTTTACCTCTAAATCATCTATTACATTATACACGTCACCAACGAATTCATACCGCAAATATTACAAATACTTAGTATCAAATATTTAAATTATTTCCATGCACGTTTATTTCAACTTAAACGTATACCGAATTCCTACAAACATAAAATTCACAAAATAACTATCATTTCATTAAAATATAATTAAATTCAAAAACACTACTTAAAATATAAATGAGCACATACATTAAATTAATAAAAATTACCTTACAATCCTAATTACTTTAAACTAAATCATTGCTAATAACAATTTTCCCAATAATACCAAATTCCTTTCCCACCTTACATTTAGAACAATGCATAAAAATAATATCCTCAAATAATTAAAAATACTAACTTACCTAATCTTCTTCAGAATCTTGATTACGTGGCGGATACACTTTTCTAATTCATTCAATAAAATTATTCAAAGATTTTTTTCTGCGAATTTTTCCTCCAATACTTCCTCCGCTAAATAAAAAGCAAACTTCTCTTTATCACAATGCCTAAATACCCATTTCGAATCACTTTAGTTACGGCCATGGGATCCAAAAAAAATTACACAACACTGTTTCACACAACACAGAATAAAGCTAAATACAAAATTTCCACATTTTTTCCCGATTTCCCCCCTTTTCCGATTAAAGAACCGTAATTCGTCCATTAATATCACATGACATATCCCATGATCTCTCATTTCCCTCACGCAAAATAATGCGTAATCGGAACTAAGTACTGCTCACATTATTACCAAAGTCCCAGGTAGTAACCTTTATCGCCTCCAAAATGTCGCCAAACTACCAGTTACCATATTGTAAAGATCAACCATTTTAACCTTTGTTTTCATATACTTCCATTCATTCAGATGATATTTACATTCTTTCAGAATGTAAGAAAACAAAATATTTTAAACTATAATCTAATATATATCAAGGGGGAAAAAATCTCATGATCGGATAAAGGCAGTCATACCACTCAAGGTATTAAACAAAAATTTTATCTATATTTTGTACAGATCTTACCGTATTTCATTAAAAAGTTCCAAAACTTACCATTTGCATTACGAAATTGTAAATGAAGAGTAGTCATGTCCTTTGTTATAACATATGCATGACTACCTAATTTTGCACCATCAGTATCTTTATCAAATTGAATTTCTAAAAGAGAATCTGGACTATTTGTACCACCTACAATAAAATAATAAGCAGTGAAAAACAAGAATACAGTATTCAAAGCACAATTTATAATAAAAAATACAGTACAATTATATTATGAGGATCATACAAAACTGCAGTGAAAATATATGTGCTAAAGCATCAAATCTAGCAAACACACCCAATTAATTGCAAACTGCAGGTATATTTAGATTGTTCTAGAATTCTAAGTCGCCACTGAAATACTAGTTTAATTTTTAAATGCTTTGATAATGCTATGGATTTAACAATCTGCGAATTGCCTAAGAACATAAAAGTCCGCAATAGTTTTTTTTTTTTTTTTTGGCATCGTTTCATGTTAGAAAACTGTGCTTGAAAAGCAACAAGATGAAACTGTGTTTTATCAATAACTCAACAGTAAAATGGTGCTGCAGGAAAGAATCCTGTATTGAGAAGAATTAAGAACAGAAAATTAGATCAAAGGATCAAAAATAACCTTTCTTACAACCATGATGTTTTCTATTTTTGATGTTGGGAGATGACATCTAATGAATTGTGTAAACTTCAGTTAGAGATGAACCACAATACAATTATAAACAAGAGAGGGTTTGCACACATTTCTGTACATGGAAGTGAAGTACTTTTAAGAATTTTAGGGACCATTAATGAAAAAATTAAGGATCTCTCAGGAAATGGGAGCCGAATAAAATTCAATTGGCCAATGTCTGAACTCCGCTTTTGTAATAACCCTCTAAGAATAAAATAGATAAGTAGGATGCATTTTTATTAAATACACTTTAATAATATGTTTAATAAGTATGTTTAATATTTAATAAGTATAATAAGTATGTTTAATATTCTTATTAAACATACTTTAATAAACTATAAAAAAATTGAGAATATAAAATTTATTAGGTAGCATTAAATATTTTACATGTATAATAGTTGGACATAGTTTGAAGACAGTTTGAAATAAGTAATAGTTTAAAAGAAGATTAGGGACATTTTATTTACATTTTACTAATCCTTTATTACGCTTTGTTGATTTTTTCTTTTATGTCTCATTTTGCCACATACTTAATCTAGAGCAGGTGTTCTGAACCGATGGTATGTGTACCACTGATGGTACGTAAAGAAGCAAAGTATTTTTAACTATTAAATTCAAAAATTAAAACACCAACATCCTGAATTAGTTTTTTCTGTAACACTCCTAAATTTATGCAATCCGAGCTTTGTTTAAGAGTGGTGGTGGTAGTAGTACTTTGGTGGTACTAAAGGTTTTTCAATTTTTGTTTAGATGGTACGCATTAGTCAAAAGGTTGAGAACCAATGGTCTAGAGGTTTAGTAAATAGCAGGTGGATTTTATGTCAAATAGCATAGGCTAAAATGAGAAAGAAAATCATTATTGGCATGATTCCTTCCACAAGATTGGCTGTTGCTCGTGCTGCTGCTTGCCTAGAGAGAGATCTGTTGATCAGAACAAACCTGAAAGCCTGATGTAGATTTGAGGTTGGCAAGTTTTGAAAGTTAGTTGTGTTCCATCTGTCTGACGCAGTTAGTGTTATAGCTTCTTGTAGAGTTCCTGGCATTATAACCTAGTTAATAACATATTTTAAGGTTCCAATAAGCAACTAATACAGAGGGGATAAGTTGTTTTGTATTATTTTAAGTCTCATTAGATCCAAAGAATAAGTTTTACATTAATTTTTACATTTTTGTGCTGTACTGTGACCATAGTAAGGGTTAATGAAAGACAATAATATGCAGAGATCACTTTCAAAAGTGAGCGGTTAGTTACAAATAATTAAATTATGTAGTTAAATACCCTTAATCATTATAGATTTACACGACCACTATTAAATTTTATTCATTTTTTAAAAACATTTGTTGAAAAAGCACCATTAAAGTCACAAATGATAACATTTTGCAGTTTAAAATGGATAAAGTAAATAGCATGGATGTAATTTTAAATTGCCAGTTTTAAATCAATGTCATAACACTGATTCTTAAACAGTAATAGGGTAATTCCACATTAAAAGCTAGCAACAACACATAACAAAACATTTATGCATCTTTTAATTTGAAGTCTTCCCAGACACTTTGGCTTAATTTATATAAATTTTCTCCCATTTAAATATCTTTCCTAACAATTACAAATCTGTTTCAATACAAAAACTGATGTTTCCACTAGTTTCCGTGTGCTTTATCTCCTAATTTGCCGGTTTCTTAACAGTGTATCAATGAGGTTTTACTTGATCTGGTAAAAGTTAAATAGTCCAAACCCCTTATAGACATGAAGCAAATTATCGCTATGTCTGAAAGTAACTACTAAGTCACGTACAGGTTTAAATAAACCTTTTATTTAAAAAGAACTTAGAACATACAAGCAGGTTCCTATGTTGGCAAAATCAACTACAGCTTGTGGTGATGCAATTAAACAGGAACAGTCAAATTCAAACTAAAAATGTGGACTAGTAGTCAAAGACTAAAGAATTTAATTTTAATCTACCCTGGCTCAGCAACTCTAACGTCATAACAAATTCCAATGTTAGCGGCAATTACACAATGATGAATAATTACATATTATCAGAGCTGGCAGAAACTAATGCAACATCCAAGTGGAGGGCAAAAACACTCTTTCAGTCTCAAAACCTCAATTTAAAAACTATCCGATTTGAACTCAGTTTAAAAACTATCTGATTTGCATTATGGTGAGAAAATGGAAAGGGGAACTTATAGTAAAGGCTAAAATTATAAACAACTGGTTAATGTGCGTAGTAATAACTGTACTTGAAGAATAATTTTCTTCCTCTTTAAGCATTCAGTTTATTTCTTCAATTTGTTTCCTCTTCACTTTAGAATTTTTGGAAATAATTAATGATTTCTGTTATTCTAAATAACCAAATGTATTTAGAATGTAAAGAAAAAGCTGATAAATATGAAATGATGTATAGTAAGGGCTTGTTTGAGGGCCGATGAGGCAGAATTTTTAGAATTTAGTGACACACCGAGCAACAAAATCTAGCAATAGCAAAACTTTTAGAATTTAGGACAGGCATTGGGAGCAGAACTTAGGATCCACAGAGATTGCATCAGGTGGGAAAATGCCTTGTGTCAGCCCTGTATATGATCCACTGAGACACATAAGGTGAATTTTTTTAATTGTCAGTTTTCAATTTCTTTATTAATTATTTTAAAAATTCTTTTTTCTAAATGCCTGTTCATGCGAAAAGAGGAGAAACATTTTTGACATTTTCCATATTTGTGTCTAGTGAAAAGTTGAGAAAAATAAAGGGAAGATTAACATGTTAAGAAAAAGACTTCTAGTATCAGAAGTAAAACATCCAAACATTATGCTTTCACTGTCCTTCCAAAAAGTTGCCTAAATGTAAGAAATTAATCACAAACTTTCTGTACAATACATCCATTATGTGTTAATACAATGAAGACATTTTCATTTTGTCAATTTTTTTCTGGAGCCTTATAGAATTGTGGGTCTGTAAATCTTGCCTTCAAATCCTTCTAAACTTTCCAAGTTGCAATGTGTAAAATCCTAAAGAAAAATTAGCCCTACCAATTCTGCAAAAGAAAGAGGGCTAGAAATATTTTGGAAAAAAAAAAAAAAAAAAAGTGGAAAAAGCATAAAATTAATTTTATAGAGAAAAGTGATACATATTCTGACAATTCTGAGACAACTACATGGGAAAAATCTTACCATGAAAAAATTAAAAGGAAGATTTTTTAATTAATTATATAGCTATCTTGCTTTTGTTATGAATTGTTTAGTAAACTGTGCTTTATAGCATTTATTACCTTGTTTATTTTTCAGATTCAGAATACTATATAAGTCGCCAAAATGGGAAGTAATGCCCCTTTATAATATGACAGCAAAAGAAAATAAAAATGTTTTATTTTAATGTTATTCCTTAAATGTAACTTAAATATATTACCATTATTTAAGTTAAATTTATCAATGTTATAATGTTTCAAAAAAAAAAAAAAAAAAAAGTCAAAAAAATTCCCACATCTTCGAATTAAAAATTTTCTATAGAAATTTATCTTAAAATCGCCAAAATGTTGATAAGTCACCAAATTTAGAGCCGCTTAATAAAAGAATTCACATCCCCAAAAGCAGAAAGTTGTTTAAATGCTCTTCATTAGAAAAAATGCTTATGTTTGGCTCCTTGCTCAGACACTCCAGTATCCCATCCTTTACATTAGAAATGAGAACAAATAATAACCCATTCAAAAGATAATCATATTTGCCAGTGAATTGTCAAAAATATTCCTCCATAATGTTAATTCACACTCACAGCAGTCGTAAAAACAAGACTGAAATTTGGGGGAACGTGCAGAATCACCCACTGCTTGGCACGTTTTTAAGAATTGCACATACTTGGTATCCATGTACACATCGACCTATTTTCACTTAAAAAAAACATCCCAGAATTGCACAAAAATGGCATTGTGCACTCCCTTGACTTTATCCATGTACACGTCGACCTATTTTCACTTAAAAATCAAAGAAAATTGACAAAAATCCAATTCTTCTTACTCTTATAAAAAGCACCAAATAAATAATTGGGCGATTTTGCACTTTAGTCGAAATTTCATATGATTAAAATTAAGGACCTTCTGCTGATTTTGGCCTAAATTAAGAACTTTTAAGGACCAAATTCGATTCCAAAAATTTTAAGAATCGTTTTTAAGAACTGCACATACTTGGTATCCATGTACACATCGACCTATTTTCACTTAAAAAAAACATCCCAGAATTGCACAAAAATGGCATTGTGCACTCCCTTGACTTTATCCATGTACACGTCGACCTATTTTCACTTAAAAATCAAAGAAAATTGACAAAAATCCAATTTCTCTACTCTTATAAAAAGCACCACATAAATAATTGGGCGATTTTGCACTTTAGTCGAAATTTCAGATGATTAAAATTAAGGACCTTCTGCTGATTTTGGCCTAAATTAAGAACTTTTAAGGACCAAATTCGATTCCAAAAAACCTAAGGACTTTTAAGGACCAAATTTGATTCCAAAAAACTTAAGGACTTTTAAGGACCATACAAAAACTGCAAAAACAGCTTCATGTGCAAGATATGTGCTAAAGCCTCTGCCTATGATAATATTACTAAAGCAAATGAAAGCCTTTTCACTCGAAAAAAGAACAACGTTTAGCATGTTATTTTCCTATAATGGTTTTCTGGAAGACTGTAATCAAATAAATGTTTTTTAGTCACTGCTCCATATTGATCAGTAAACAGTTTATTGAATGTTATAAGAGAAATTATTGTATAAGGAAGCATTATTGATACAAACTGCTATAACCGAAAGTATATAAGCCACATGAGTTACGAGACCCCGGCTTTGAACATTTTACTGTCAACTACAAATATAACACTGTGGATATTACACACAAACGATAGGAGTAAATGTGGGGTAGTGTTAAATGGCATAATAAATGCCATCTTAATACTGCTTGACAATACCTCAATTATTACTTTTCTGGGTTTAATCCTAGTATCCAGTGCACACGGGATTTGGCTGCTTTTGGCGACTTTATGATGAGCAGTAAAAACGGGACATAAACGATGAGTAGTAAACGGGTCATTCAAAGAATATATATAGTTATATATAGTATATATTATGTATTTGGCTCTAGCGTAGAATTGGGTGCCCCTTCGATAAGCGACAATTTTTTGTAAAATTTTGGCGATGAAATCGTATTTCTGGTTACCATGATAGTGTAACTTGCTTTAGCATCCTGATTTTTTAAAATAAAAATAGATTGATGTGTACATGGACAAATTTAAACAGTGCACAATGCCTAGTTTGTGCAATTCTGGGATTTTTTTTAAGTGAAAACAGATCGATGTGTACATGGACACACAGTTTATGCAATTCTTTGACTTTTTATTTTGGTTTTGTGTAGCGGCCATCTTGAAATTGTGTCTTCCTGACGCCGATCTTGCCGTCAAAAAAGAATCTCCAAAAAAACAAGGGGCACCCAATTGTAAACTTTTACCATGTATTTACACACATAGTGTATAGTATATAGACGTTCTTTGGATTATTTTTGGTGTTGGCGATAATTTTCAAAATCGCGCCAAGGCTGCACCGTATTTTAGGATTTTACCCTTTTCTGAATATAGAGACATTTATACCAAAAAAAATGAAATTTTTTCTGCAATGTTGAAAAACGTAAACTGTATGCCTCCTGTTTAATTTCAACTATGTTTAGCCATATCATTTCATCATTAATTGTAATAAGAAATTAACCTTTCATCAAATTAAAACAATATTCTTAGTTATTTACTATTATGCTTCCTTCAATAATTTACTCAAATAAAAAGTAATAATCTAATTAAATTATCTTAGAATCCTTGCTAAACATACTATAAAATAGAATTTCATTACTGACTTAAAACATGGAATAATATCACAGGCAATAATCAAAACACAACTATAACAACGCCAGAAAGTCAAAATGAAATTTTCAATCCCCCCCCAAATGTATAATCAATTTTCTCACCTATTTCTATAGTATATAAAATAAACTGTTAAAAGTACAGCTTTTGGATGTTGCAACAAAGCACTATTCACAAGCAAAAACGTTACTGCATGAAAAAAGATGTGCAAAAATTTTAGAATTCAACGTTGAGTATGATTTAAATAAAAAATACTTTAATATCACATAGCAAACATAATAAATTAATAATTTAATATAGTTATTTTAATATGCTAGTTATATTATGCATCAGCAAATCTGATATATGATAATTTATCATTCATTCAGTGCCTTTTGTGTTTATTATTTCTACACGTAACAACCGTTCATATTTCATCCAATCCTAAACATAACTTTCTTAGTTATTTACATCATATTTCGATGAATAAATTAAAATTTATCTTCCTTATTTCTATCATTCTCAATTCACGTTTAGTTGCCTCTCGAAGTTATAATAAAACAATAAGTGTTTACATTACACTCGTTCTTATAAGAAATTCGTAATTGAAGCAAAAAGACAAAAGTGCATTACATTATCAACAATCATAAATCAGTAATTCTCCAACGTCAAACATGCATTGTAACAATTTGAGCGGCAAACGTCTAGAAGAAAATCACGGAAAAACTATAAATACTGAAACTTACTTGGTTTAAAAACTAAATTTAAATTTTCAAATTCATCCGCAACATGTAATGTCACAGGAAAAGGAATTTTCTCACTTTTCTTCATATCTTCAGACAAAGATGAAACAAGCACGTCTTCAAATGTGGCCGCCATATTTAGTACAATTAATTAATTATAAGCAGATAAAACTCAATTATGCATTAAAATGAGTTCGGATTATACTCGGCTTCTTCTCATGTCAAAACACTGCACATTACACAACAAATCACATAAGTACAAAAATTTACAGGTCTCATTATAAAGACAACACACACAATGTAACAAACAGGTAAGTGGGTAATTGTGAGGTATACAGATGTCGATTCTTCAATCGATGATCGAGGAAAAGCAGTTTAGACGTTAACTGTAACAATAACCCACGTTTTGCTTCTTTCATTAGGCTATTACATTTCGGCCATTTATTTTAATTTTATTTTGTTCCATCTTTTCGAACTGGTATAAAATGTACGAAGTTCCTTTTGACTCTCCTTTCAAATACGAAATTGTCCCCCTTAATCTAAAACTCGATTTTACGCCCATCGATGCTACTTCGCGATGTCTACATTGTCTCACACACACACAGATCGTATTTTATTCTCGAGTGTCAAGATGTAGAAACATCTTTTTACTCGACTTCGGAGGATTGGGTGGGAGGAGGAAGTGTGGGAGGCGGAAAAAAGAGAGTGAGGTCCGCACTAGCGGCGGCGAAAAAAAAGTGGGTGGCAAATTCAGTGTCGTTATAAGATGTAGCCGCGGGTGGTAAACCGCAGAGTCAGTTTAGCGTGAATGAGTCAAGTAAGGTTGTAATTCTTATGTGGGTAGGATGTCATAGGGTAACGATGTTTTTCTCTGGGATGCGGGGAGTGTCTGAGAGTGCTAATAAGGCTATTACTGTGGGTTTCTACTGACTAAAAGAAGTTGACCGCTAATCGTTTAATATACTCTTGAATAAGTTCGATTCGAAGGTCTCTGTGAATATAGATGTTTGGAATATACCAAGGAGCATTGATAATTTCTCGTAGAATTTTATTTTGTAGAATTTGTAATTGTTAATATTGGTTTTAGCTGCATGTCCCCAGATCGGTGCCGCATAAAGGACGGCTGGGCGAAGTATGGAGCGATATAGAATTAATTTGTTTGTAGTCGATAAGTTGCTTTTTTACCAAGAAGAGGTCGCATAGCAGCTGTGGTGATTTTAAATTTTTGTACTACGGACCGGAAGTGGGTTCTGAAGGTAAGTTTTTGGTCAAGGGTGACTCCAAGGTATTTGGTTTCATTAATCCAGTCTATTTCTTCGTCAAATATTTCAGGGGGGGAGGATAGTATTTAATGTTTCCTTTACGGAAAATTATTGGCTTAGTTTTATCAGAGTTAATTTTAATCCTCCAAAGAGTGAGCCATTTTCCCAGTTTTATGAGATAGTTTTGGAGTTGGTTTCTTACGGCGATAACTGTGCAGGCTTTAGTAAGTATGGCGGTGTCATCGGCAAAGAGTGCAAGATGAACAGAAGGGTCTTTAGGAATGTCTTGTGTATAAATATTAAAAAGGTACTGCGAAAGTGCCGACCCCTGTGGGACACCAGCATGGATTACTCTGGTGGTAGAGTAAGTAGTACCGATTTTGATTGTGAATGTTCTGTTGCTGAGAAAAAAAGGCTATTAAGCGAATAAAATGATCTGGAAAATTGAGAGTGATTAGTTTGTAAATAAGGCCTCGATGCCATACCCTGTCAAGAGCTTTCGCGATATCGAGGAATATAGCACCGGTCGGAAGCTTGCAGTTGTAGCCTTCAGTGATAATGTTGATAACTCTAAGAAGTTGGTGGCAAGTGCTATGATGATTACGAAAACCGAATTGTTCTTCTGGGAGAAAATTCATGGAAGGGTGAATTTTTTGGATGTGGAAAAGTAGGATTTTCTCAATAACTTTAGACAAATGGCTAAATAAACTGATAGGGCGATAGTTCTGTGGGAAGGTTGGATTTTGTTGCGGTTTAGCAAAAACAATTATTATAGCTTGCTTCCATGAGTTCGGAAAATGAGCTAATTTGATAATGTTGTTGATTATCTTAGTTAGGCTAAGGCTCCTCTAAACCAGGCTGAATCCCCAACTTTTCTCTCTTGGCGAGGGAACGCGCTGCTAATTTTGGCGCATTTATCGCACACGCTGGCTGAATGTCTGCTGTTTTTTTTTAAGATTGATTTTATAGACGCGCGGCATTCAGCGCATATAAACTTTTCGGATAATTTATTAATTCTCGAATAGTATATAGACGTTTTCACTTAAATAAAAACTTCGCGTATATTTTGTAAAACATATTCAAAATAACTTATGTTTTAGATGTTTTAGTTAGCAGACTAAAATAAATAAGATATGAATAAAAACTTTCAATAGTGTCAAATGGGGAAATAGTTAAAGAGTAGAGTGTGCAAATAAATTTATCTTAATGACATTTTAACAAAAATTTCCATAAAAACACTGTAAATTCATACTCAAAAAATAACTTAAGAATATGTTGTCATTTAAGTCTGAGGTATATGGAAATAATTGTGCAAGTCTCTGAAGAAACACTTTCTTTTAAATGTGTGAAATATTTCATAACATATATGGAAGAAGAAAATACAGCATTCTGAGTTGTGGATGCTTTTCACCAAATGTAATATAAATACGAACTAGAAACCGTAATAAAAAGTCCTTCCCCTCCAATCAGATCACCTTTGTGTTGCATTGTATTTGTAATACTTCTAAAAATCCAATTTTTACCTAAATTAAAAAACAGTTATTCCATAAAAGATAATAAATTTGAACGTATATAGAATGAATTTTGTAATTTGAGTTATGTTACAAAATAATTCATAGTTTATATATTTTATACAAATAATTTAGATAAAACCTGTCCTTTTCCAATTTAAGAATGTGTGTTAACCACAGTCTTAAATTGTAAAAGGACGACTTAACCACATGTAATTCATTTCAAAGCATAAAAGAAAGCTTATTTTTTATTTTATACAGCAACAGCATTTTCATGCAGTCAAGTTTTTTTAATTGCTAGTTATTATACATAATATTTAATTTAAAAACATTCATATTAGAAAGCATAACTAAGAAACTTCTTTTTAAAGCACCACAGTGATTGCAAAGAATATCGTTAAATTTACGAAAGTATTGAAGATATATTGAACAGCATTATAAAAAGAAAGTACTGTACAAAATATGTAAATTTAGCACAACTCCTTTTTTAGTATTTGCATAGTTTCCTCCAAATGAACCTTAATGGGAAGTTATTTTGCGAAAATTTAAAAGTATTAAAATGGCCTCTAATTAAGATGTAACTGCATTTATAATTATTTTGTAATTGTGAATAGATTATATTATTTGTAATTGTGAATTTATTATTATTATTTATTATTTGTGAATTTATTTGATTTGTAATTGTGAATAGATTATATTATTGCAATTAGATTATGCACTTACAACATAATTGCATAAAGTAATGAAATTAAGAGTTCACAGATACAATGTAATATAATTACAATGCAGTTACCTAAATTGTAATTATAATCACTTATTTAATACCACAATTTTATTGCAATCACAATGTAATTTAAATTGGGTACTATATTTGCATATCCTCCACTCAAAAGGAGGTACTGATAAGCCTGGAAGTTATTATCAACAAAAAGCCTGTTCAGGACAGTTTGATGACAATTTCCACCGGGCGGAAAGTACATTCTTAAGCCCAAGCAAATCATGACAATAAAAATAATTTAGTCTCATGATTCACTATATTTTATATATATTTATCCATGTAAATTCCTAAACCCTAAATTTGAATTCTGCACAAAATTATTTACCTATATTTTAACATACTTTATGAATTATTAGAAGCGATATGGCAAATATCTTCTAAAAATAACTGTAAAATATTTGTATCCATTAATTGATTCAGATACACACTTTTATTATTTAAGTATATCAAAATAACAGTTTCATGTTCCTGAAATACAAAAATTATGGAAAAAGTTAAAGTAATATTCTTAGAAGCATATGATATTAGTCACAGATGCAAAATTATAGTTAATTTTTTGCCCAATACAAGTTATTACCAGTAGTAAATGTGTAACTTATAACATGTTTTATAAAATGTAACGTTTGCGCGCCTCCAACTTGCACGCAACCAAGAGGTGACTGTGAAAACTTGATAAAATACAGAGTCTTGTGAAGGGTTTAAGTCCCTTTTTATTCAACGTAATAAATTACAATTGCGTGCTCTTGACGCTCACAGACTGTGCCAACTTGGCAGTCAAATAAAAATAATAACCTGAAAAGAAACTAAAGACAAGATTCTAACTACGAGGCTCTCTAAAATAACTAACTCACCGCGTTTTACAATACCGCTGCTAATTCAGCAGACTTGAAGCTCACTTGAACGATTAACACTACTTCCCGCCAAGCACATAGGCCGAAACGCGGGGTTCTTCAATTTCTCGCTAACTACCTCCGCGCTCGTGAAGTAAGAATATCACACACCGAACTCGTTTCCTTCTATTTAAATCATAATACTTCCGCTGATAATTTGAATCCTTGCGCGTTCTACTCAAATTTACATATTCTGGCATTGGCAGTTCCAGGGGAAAGTAAGGCTTGACAGGAAAGATAGTTTAAACTTAAAATAAATGTTAGTTAAAATAAATATAAACCCTACATTTGCCGCTGCCAGAATTTGGAAAACTTGGAAGCAGGTCCTACAAACGACCTGTTGTAAGTTTCTCTAATTCTGAACTAACTGGCGAGAACCTCGTTTACACAAAAAAAATCTTATGTAACAATTTGTATACTAAAATTCTGTTGCTCGTTATAAAGCTCTCTTCTTACAGCAACTTTTCCTGGACTTCATCAATCAATCTTGGTCTTTCCTTCCAGCATCTGGAAGGAATAAGTATCAGTATCTTTCTACATACATTATAATTTACACTTTCTTGACACAATAAATTTTTGTTTTTAAACGATTCGTTTTTCTTAGTTATTGCTTACTTCACATTCATTCAATTTTTCAAGCATTAATTTAACTTTACCCTGGCTCTCCACCGTGTGTGGTGTCAAACGGGAATATTCGTGTTTTAGTCTTACAACACTTCCCCTAACCACCATGATTTGTTAGAATTCAACGACCAAATAGACACACCTTACTCGACATTCTACAACTCAATGAGCTACTTTAATATTCTTAAAAATTCAAATGTAGGTGGAGAACCCTACAAAACACATTCATTCTAACTTCCCCCTCATTCATCTTTAAACATGCAGGCTTTCGCTCTAAAGC